TCCCAACATTGATTCAAAATCGAGTAAAGAGAATTCACTATCCGAACAGTCGTAATGATTCGAATTTGTCAAGACCAAAGATCTTTGACCTAAACACTTCCTGGTACGGATGCGGTGTGTAAGATAAACACTCGCATTACGTATGGTAAACCAAGAAAAGTTGGTATGGAAAACAGAATTCAAACACTCACGAAAGTAAAATTGAAAAACATAAGACCAAGTTCAAAGCTGTTTTCATTGTCTTCTCTTAATTGCAGATCAGTTAAAAACAAACCACTATCAATATGTGACTATATACTTACAGAGGACCTTGACTTAGTCGCATTCAAAACTTGGTTAGGTTCAAAATCTGTTGATGAAGCTGTTGTGAAAAGAAACCATCATGCTACGAAATCATTCGTGAAGATCGCAACAGTGGACGCCGTGGTGGTGGAATAGCTCTTGTCTTTAAGAAGGGAATTGATGTGACCGTTTGAACACAAGCTCAGATATTTTCACTCAATTGAACATCTAGAAGTTACAGTCCGAATAGAAGACATGAGAATGAATCTATGCATCATTTACAGACCGCCACCTTCTACTGTGAATGGTTTAACTACCATTCAGTTCTTCTCAGAATGGGACACCTATCTTGATCAGAATACCATATTTCCCTAATACCTAGTAATCACAGGTGATTTCAATTTTCACGTCGACAATCGTAGTGATCCTGAGGCAAGCAGGTTGTTACAATCCCTTGATGATCGCAACCTTATACAACACGTGGACGAGCCGACCCATGTTCACGGACATATCCTAGACTTGCTTATCACACGATCATCTAGTGAAATACTACAATCACGTCCTCAAGTCAAAAAAATGATGTGAAAGGAAACTTGTGCTGTGACCACTATGTATACATGCAATCAATGCAGAAAGCCACAACATCAACGTAAAGAGATTACATTTAGAAGGCTCAAGAATATCGACATACATGATATTGAGATATAAAAAATCAATACAAGATGTATATATTTAGTACAAGGGTACAACAAATGCCTCTCGCATATTCTAAACCATGCGCCTCTTGTTAGCAAGTCAATTCTTATAAGAGCTAACACAGAGTGGTACACAGACGAGCTCAGGACAGCGAAACAACAGAAGCGGAGAACGGAGACACTTTGGCGTAGATCTAAACTGGAAATACACCACCAGCTTTTTAAAACGGAATGTAAGCAAACAGGCCAATTACTACACAAGGCAAAAGAAGAATTCTATTCTGCTAAAATTCAGGAATGCAGATATGATCTGAAAAACTTCTTTAGGGTGACGAATTTATTGTTAGGTAAGAATCAGAAGAGTCCCCTACCAACATCATCATCAGATGAAGATCTTGCAAATAAATTTTCAACGTTTTTTATAGACAAAGTAACATCCATCAGAGAGACACTTAAACAAAAAAAAACAGAAAAAGAAGACAGCTATTTAGGCACAGACGTATACTATCATGGGCCTCTATTAGCTGCTTTTGAACGTACAACCGAAGATGAAGTACGATCACTAATAATGAAGGCACCCAGTAAATCATGCGAACTGGATCCAATTCCAACAAAGCTACTGAAAAAGTGCCTGGATCCGGTAATACCGCTTGTCACAGAAATGGTTAATGCATCTCTCAATCAGGGAATTTTTCCGTCTGCATGGAAGGAGGCCATAGTTCGTCCACTTCTTAAGAAACCTGGACTAGATAAGGAAGTGTTGAAAAACTATCGGCCCGTATCAAACTTGAGTTTTATCTCAAAAATATTGGAGAAACTTGTGGCTCGTAGGATTGATGCCCATTTGGATGCGAATTCTCTTCGCGATCCACTTCAGTCGGCATATCGTCCGAGGCACTCCACGGAAACGGCCCTCATCAAGGTCCACAACGATATTGTGACAGCCCTAGACCAACAATCTTCAGCAGTCCTTGTCCTTCTGGATTTATCCGCTGCTTTTGATGTTATTGACCATAATATATTGTTCCAACGCCTAACTGTGTCTTATGGTTTCCGTGATGGAGCTCTTGAGTGGATCAAGTCTTACCTCAAGAACAGAAAACAATGTGTCACAATTGGATCCGTCCGATCAGAGTCTAGACAGCTGCCTTTTGGTGTCCCCCAAGGATCTGTAATCGGACCGAAATTGTATTGCCTCTTCTCCAAACCCATTGGAATCATATGCCACCGACATGGAATGATATACAACTGCTATGCAGATGATACACAAATCTACATAATCATAAGACCACTGGAAAATTGGAACAATTATTTCTCTCGACTTGAAGCATGTCTTAGTGAAATTGGTTCATGGATGACATCAAACCTACTCAAACTAAACCAAGAAAAGACCGAGCTAATAATCTTCACCACAAAGCAACACCAGAAGTATTTGCCAACATTACAACTAAAAGTTGGTGATAATATCATTGAAAGCGTGCCATGTGTAAAAAATCTAGGTGCAACACCTTACTATGGAAAAACAGGTATCCTCGGTCGTCAAGTCATGCTATTTTCAAATAAGCTACGGCGCTTTCTTACAAAAGAAGCCTGCAAGACCATGGTGAATGCCGTTATCACTGCCAGGCTGGACTATTTTCTATATGGAGTGTCAAAGACCGGATTCAAAAAGTCCAGAACACGGCAGCTCGTTTAGTTACAAGATCATCGAAACGGGAGCATATTACACCTATCCTAGCTGATCTTCATTGGTTACCTGTTTCTTTTCGTCCACAATATAAAATCTTGACATATGTCTACCAATCCTTACACGGGTTAGCTTCTTATATCAAAGATCTTATAATGGAATACAAGCCTACCAGGTCACTGCGATCTGAGTCAACATCACGGTTAGTTGTTCCTAAGATCAGGACGAAGACATATGGCGAACGTCGACTTGGTTGGGCAGCAGCATTTTTGTGGAACGACCTTCCTAATGATACAAAGCAGGCCCAGTCCCTGGATATTTTCAAAAGACAATTAAAGACGCATTTTTATAGAATAGTGGTGCTCAATTTTTAGCAGCAAATCATAAATCACAAATGATGTTCTTTTATTGAGTTTTATTGATGGCGTAATTGTATTTTGTGTAATTTTTTAGTATTTTAATGTTATAATTTCGAACACATATATGAGTATGGGTTGATATTTTATATAAGTTTTGATAGCTTTTAAATTATGTTTACTGCGTTTTATTGTACAGTGCTTTAGAGTTAAATTATTAATATTTAGCGCTTTATAAATTCATATATTATTATTATTATTATCATATATATTATTATCATCCGAAGGACCGATCTCCACGTCCTGCAGTGGGATTCGAACCCGCGACGTAAGGATCAACTCCTTACTTCGCGACTCTACAGTAGACGCTCTAACCACTGCGCCACGTGGGCGACTTTTCTGCATTAAAGCTCACAATATTTTTTAATAAAAATAATATTCCTAATTTCCAAGCTTCATATGATTTATATGTATTATTTTTATATGTATTTATAATATAGGTAACACATCTTAAAAAATGCAATGCTGCAAACATTAACCTATACATATCTGGAGAGAAAAAAAAGGTGGACAGATTATATATGTTTGTCCCACTGCTGGTGTATTGACAGTTTGAAAAAAAAATCCATATAGAATTTTCTACTTAAATATAACATAAATTAATAAAAATTTGAGTAGAGTCCATATCCGATTGATTATTCAGTAATATTTATGCATGTATGGTCAATGACAATACAATTCCCCCCAGATTTATTACAATTTGAATTATTAATTTCAGAAATTTTACTGAGATGTTCAGTTGATACCGACCTTAATTTCTATATCAAACATATTCTTTCAAATTAACGGAGAATCATGCAAAAAGTATAGAATAAAAATATTTCCTGAAATGTGCTTCTTATCATTAATTTAAAAAATATAATAAAATCACTCAACCATAATGGAATGACTGAAATTAATCCATTAAAAATTCACAAGCCCCAAAGAAGAGTAAGAGTTGAAATACATTCATTACAAAGGGATACTTACTTACCATCTCTAACGTCTGCAGAACTTAGGATAAATTTTATGTTCGAAGAGAAGTTTTTAAAGTTTTTCTTCCTTTGCTCTCTTTACAATAGTGTTCAAAAGAACTTTCTCATGATAGATAATATCTACCTAATGTAATTTGAACATATGTATTTTGACCATCTTTATTTATGTGGGAAAGGTGAAAACTATGCTAAATTGTAGTCAACTTAAAATATTGACCAATAAGTTTGCAAAATTAGAGACTGACAACTTATGAATGGGTCTGGAGGACAGATAGTAAACTCTTTGTGACATGGAAAAAACATATCGGTGGTATGTTCTGCCTACCGCAGAAATATGAAACTCAACATCTTTTAAATCAATTTCACACCTCATACATCATATCTTGACCACAATGCACACAGGTTTGTACTCTAAGATTGTTATATAAACCCGCAGTGAATTTGTTCTTTCACATCACTCAGTAATCTTCTGTCAAAGGTGAGTTATAATGACATTCATATTTAGCAAAGGTTAATTTAAAAAGTATTTTATTGATGAAAATATGAAATATTTACGATACTTCTTTACATCTTAGTTATATTTTAGGACTAAATGAATTAAACTATCATTTTCATATATTTCTTTTTAAACACTTGATCACTAATACATTCAAAAGTCACCGTTTTTTGACTAAGAATCAATCAGATAACTTTGAATAGTTTTGGGTAAAATTTGAGATGTGCAATGGAAATTGTTATTCTGTTAGAACTTCTTGTAGTACGAAACACTCCGTGATAGTCAGGTTCCATAAGATCATATCTGCACTCGCCACAAGAAATATAAAAAAAAAAGTTTGAGCGGGAAAAGGGGTGTGGGTCAAAATTGTGCTTTATCGCGAAAATGTATACTTCATATTGTTTGTTGCTATAAGATCAGATTTTCTTGTGTTGAACAGAAATGATAGACACAAAATTGTAAACTAACATACGAAATATTTTTCTTTATTTTCCAGGAATAACAATGAAATCATTGTTGCTCTTATCTCTTTTCTGTGGACTAACTTCCGCCACATATCCACCCTATACTTCCGGTGGATATCTGAATTACCAGACATATTTTCCTAACACTTACAATACCTTCACCAGCGGATACAATCCATCCTTTAACTCCCTCAGCACTGGCTACTATCCATCCCTTAACACACTCAGCACTGGCTACTATCCATCCCTCAATTCTGGATACTATCCTTCGTCCCTCCTCTACAACACGGCATACTATCCCACTGTCGTCAGTCATTACCTGTATTTCCCCGGAGGTAACCCATGGGAACCTGGGAGGAATTATATTGACTTGAGAATTAACCCGTATCCGTGGTACCTCAGATATTATGGACAATACCTAGGAGGTCTGGGTGGGGGATTCACTTCCGGGTTAGGAGGCGTAATCCCTGAATCATTCGGAACAGGATCTCTACCATTAAACGGACTTACTGCCGGATTAGGAGGACTCTTAGGAGGTTCCTCACTAAGTGACTTAAGTACCAGTGGTATACTAGGATTTCCTTCCGGTTCTGGACTTACCGGAAGCCTTGGAGCAGGAAGTTTAGGATTTCCGGGAGTTGGTGGATATTTCCCTGGCGGAAATGTTGGAGGACTTGGCTACAGAAGTAAGAATCCTAATATATTTGAAGTAGTAACTTTATTTAAAAAGCGTTCAATTATGTTCAATTGCGTATATCTAGAGCATGATGAGCAAAAAAATATAAAAGCTTTCCTTTCATTAAAATTAAAAAAATATATATAAATTAGGTTCTAAAGAAAGCAAAACAATCGAGCAATATAAAGAATTTCTTCTGTCATTAAACAGTATTTAGTAATGACATATACGCAGATAACAAACAGTATTCAAGCTCAAAAATCTATTAGATAATACAAAATTGGAGCAGAGCAAACATGAGCTTCCAAGATATCAGTAGTGGGATCAAATGCCACGGAGAAGTGAGCATTCCCTGCCGACCGATCACACCCGCAGTGTGCTCCTTGACATGAACAGGAAATGACGGAAAAATCCGTCGACACTAATATGAAGAACAGCAGTAAGCGTTTAGCTCAATAATGAGATTGTAACGATCATAGAACGTACGAAATGATGACTTTAAACGAGACAGCTGATATTCTTATTTCATCAACTTGCTTGTCAATGATATCTCGTTTTAGAAATGGATTCCTCTGGTCTTCTCTTAGAAAGCGGGAGGCCATTCCAAGTTTTTTCTATGTTAAGCCACCATGCGCGCATAGTGGCTTAACATAAAAAAAAAACTTGGAATGGCCTTCCGTTTTCTAAGAGAAGACCAGAGGAACGAAGTCATACAATACAACTATAAAATTTTTTCTAAGGATAAGTCTTTTTTAAATTGGGATATACAGGTCCTTAAAAAGTAAAACTGCCTTCAAAAATCCTTATTTGTCCTTAAAAGTATGTATAGTGGATATTTATTTTAGACCTTTTTTGTAAATGTGCCCAATAAAAATTGTTAAGGTCCATGAGAAAAAAAATCGATATGTTGCATTTTACCAAAGAAAAGAATGCGAATGGCATATTTCGTCAGAACAAATGTACTTCTAGAGGGCTATTTTAGAGTTCCATTTTAATGCAAGTTAAATAAATCTGAAATTTGATATTGATAAAAATATTAAACGGGGTGGGGGATGAGTTCAAATTCCTTGATATATTGTCCTCATTATGTAGAGATAATTAAAATAAAATTATGATTGAATCTTTTCTTATTTTAATCATTGTTTTATGTATTTTCTTTCCAGAGAAGAAAGTATACTAGGAACTTTAGAAGAGAACTGCCATGCTTTGTTGTACTTTTATACTTTTGAAATAAATTGCGGCATACCTTACCTTTTAGTATTGTTATTAACAATTACCAATTTTACCAGTGATTATCAGGGAGTTGCTATATGATTTTGACATTCTTGTAAAGCTGATTCTTTAAAGGAACAGAATCAATGGTATCTTATATAACGTACATTATTTTGTTTTTTAAATAAAAGTTCACCATAAACAAAAGACAATGCAATGTCGTAGCACTCACGGATAAAGAACACGTTCATCAACCATGGAAAACTAATAAAGTCTTACTTATTTAAAAGGGTTTCATAATAATAGGAAAGATTTAAAATAAAATGAGATCTGGATAAGACAATTTTTACTTTTTAAGGTCTTCCGTTTCCAACGGAAGACCTTCTACTGATTCTGTTGGTAAAGATTATTATTAAGGTCTTCCGTTTCCAACGGAAGACCTTCTACTGATTCTGTTGGTAAAGATTATTATTCTTTTTTTCTTCTGCTTCCTAGACCGTAACTTTGAGGCCTCATATCTCACTCATTTCTCAACGGATTTCGCTCAAATTTTCAGAGGTTATAGACGTTTATAAACTCTATCAGAATGCTGACTAAAATTTCAAAGAGTCACTTCCGGTTTTGAGTAATTTCCCTTTAAATGAAAAATTTATAGGCTTTCGTTTCCAGACAAAGGCTCAGAGACGGCTAAAGCTGAAGCAGAAATTCTACTGATTTTAGATAATAAAAGGATTGAAGTTGTGCACATCGGTTTTTGTTTTTCGATTATTCTATTCAAAATGGCGCTATATAGGGGTTAAAAATTAGAACGCATAAAACAACCAAAAATTACTCATATTTTGCTTCTTATCTTCTAAACTAAAAATATTTTGTTAAAATATATAGAACATAATTTGTGCAGAATTAGAAGATCTTTCAAATGATATATCGGAAAAAGGGCTGACCCCTAAATTAAGGGATCTAGAGGGGCCAAAATTTCTTTCCAGATATCTCAAAAAGCATTGAGAATTTGTTATACATCAAAGAAGCAAAGTTGTTGAAAATGTCAAGCTTAATCTAACGGAGTCGTCAAAATACGTCCAGCATCGTCACTTCCTGCCAAGCCGGAAGTAGTCGGAAAACGCGTATTTTTGCCGTTTTTGACAAGTTTTTGGGCAACATATGTCTCTGGGAGCATAAAAATTAATTTTCCATGCGTCGTCGTTACTTCCGGTCAAACCGGAAGTAGCAAAAACTGACTTATTTTTGCATTAATTAACTTAGTTTTTGAGGATTCAAAGCATTTTCGGGCGTTATTTCTCATTTTTGTTAAAAATGAAAGCTACTTCCGGTCAAACAGGACGGAAGACCTACTCGTTGCTTTGCAACGAGCTTTGCTCTAGTTCTTTTTTTTCTTCTACTTCCTAGACGCCAACTTTGAAGCCTCATATCTCACTCATTTCTCAATTGATTTCGCTCAAATTTTCAGAGGTACTAGAAGTTACTAAACTCTATCAGAATGCTGTCGAAAATTTCGAAAAGTCACTTCCGGTTTTAAGTTATTTCTCTTTAAACGAAAATTTATAGGCTTTCGTTTCCAGACAAAGGCTCAGAGACGGCTAAAGCTGGAGCAGAAATTTTACTGTTTTTAGCTATCAGAAGGATTGAAGTTGTGCACATCGGTTTTTGTTTTCGATTTCTCTATTCAAAATGGCGCTATATAAGGGTCAAAAATTAGAACGCTTAAAAGAGCCAAAAATTACTCATATTTTGCTTTTTATCTTCTTAACTAAAAATATTTTGTTAAAATATATAGAACATAATTTGTGCAGAATTAGTAGATCTTTTAAATGATATCTCAGAAAAAGGGCTGGCCCCTATAATTAAGGGCCAAGAGGGGCCAAAAGTTTTTCCTTTATATCTCAAAAAGTATTGAGAATTTGTAATACGTCAAAGAAGCAAAGTTATTCAAAATGTCGAGGTCAATCTATTGAGCTCGTCAAAATACGTCCGGCGACGTCATTTCCGGCCAAACCGGAAGTAGTCGGAAAACGCATATTTTGCCATTCTTGACAAGTTTTTGGGAAACATCTGTCACTGGGAGCAAAAAAATTAATTTTCCGTCCGTCGTCGTCACTTCCGGTTAAACCGGAAGTAGCAAAAATGGCTAATTTTTGCATTAACTGACATAGATTTAGAGGATTTAAACAATTTTAGGACGCTATTACTCGTTTTTGTAAAAATGAAATTTTCTTCCGGTCAAACAGGACGGAAGACCTTCTCGTTGATTTGCAACGAGCTTTGCTCTAGTGTTATTTATCTTTTTGTTCTAAGGAACCTCTAAGAATTTTAAATCATAACAATTTACCGAAATCAATGAATTCAAAATGTACGATTTTCCCACAATTTATATAACTATTCCCCACGATAAATTTAAGTCCATACTTTTTTTTTTACATCATAGGCAATTTGTTTTTAATAAAAATGGATTTTCTTGATTTACTAGCTTAGGCTTGCCTTCCTATTAGCAATTTGCAAGAATTATTTTGTTAGAAAAAAATTAATGGTACATTATCTGCAGTTGATATTAAAAAGATGCAAGGTTTGAAGATCGTCCTCTAACAATTTGTTGCAATCCGATGAGTATTTATTGTGCACACGATATTTTTTGTGTATTTATATGAAACAGAATTTATTAAATGAAATTTACATAAAAAAGTATTTAATTATGACATTTGATTTAATGTACAGATGTATCGAAGACGTATTATCAATTATCAATTTTCATTTTCATTTCAACATTCATTCAATATATATCCGTTGAGCTTGAAATAAAGGAAACCACAAAACCTAACAATCTGTTTCATCTTTGGATATTTTACTAATAAAAAATCTTAGTGATAAACATAAAGACTTAAAATTCTTGTCGTCCTATCTACATACATGTATCTATAGCTATATACACACCCCTACTAATGTGTTTGGAACCTCTCATTTTTCGATGTTGTGCAAATTAAAAGTAGGTAAGCAAGTAAATTTTATTTAAAGTCGGCATTGTATACATTGCATAACAAGAAACATGAGCTCTGTAGAGCCCGAGGAGTTCAAAGTAGCTCCGGCTGTAGCTGTGGCGAGAATTAGCGAGACTACAGTGAAATAAGGTAAATTATTCAAAGAAATGTGGCTAAGAAGTGACTAACATGCGGAGACACGTAAACAGAAAAGTTATGTTGTGTTTTAGTTTTCACCACATTATGATATCTGTAGAAATATATACTTCAATCTCTCTTGAATTCATTCAAATATTAATAAATCTTCTCTATGATTTCATAGGTCATTCATTAAAATTTCTTTTTGGACAAATATATTTGCATGGGAAGCTGGACTTTATTTTTGGCGTCAGATCAGCAAATGAGGCACCAACATGCTATGGGTTAATGCTGATACTACAGGAATTTTACGCTTAAAAAACAAAAAATGTCAAGGCAATCGGAAAGGCAGAAACATTTTTTCCATGCATTTTGTATATGAAAAGCAATTTCAATTGTTCCTTTTTATTCTATTATTTCAATGCACACAATTACCAACGAGGAATTCTAGATTTCTCTAAGTCATACTGCAAGGTGATTTGAATCTGTATTCATTCCTTTGTTGTAATATAGATGAATACAATTGGTGGATTCTTTTGCCAAAAAAAGAAGAAAACACTAATGATCATGAGTATTGATATGCAAAAATGTTTTGTCCATTTAGATGCCCAAGATATTCCATACCCTTGGTGTTCTGAACTTGAATCAAAGTACAATTTATTATACATATTATCTAGTGAAGACCAGTAAAAACACCGGTGACATCTTTTATAGCTTCTAATCTTTTTCTGCAGTTAGCGTAAACGTTGCAATTCATTCAATGAAATATATGGATATAACGAACAGTATTCCAAATCAGAAGTCTATAAAAAATTACAAAATAGGAGCAGAGTAAACACGGACCTCCAAAACATCAGAGGTCGGATCAGGTGCCATTAGCGATTAGTCAGTTGTTCGTGGTAAGATCTGTTGTGCGTTATAACAATAGCCATATCAGGCAAACAAAGGTTTGTCAGTGTAGATGATATTACACATATTTTTTACCAGCGTATCGGGCCACTTTGGGAAACTTGTTGCAAATGAGCTCCAGTTTTTGCCGTAAATTATCACAAAGAAAAGATAAAGTATATTGATTTTTACACCCCCTCTCTATCTACCCAATCACGAAAGTCTTTCAGAAACGCCTGGAAAAAGCATGTTTTCAAAAGAAACAGACTATAGCAATTTCCTGTTTTCTGCCAATTTTATTTATAAAACCGCGCCTACCCTATAACCCCTAAACCACGTGCATTGAACTTAAATCACAATAACATTAGTATTGATATACATGGACCATAATATTCCGTATATCTTGTTTATTTTTCCCAGTTGATTCGATATGCAAGAGCATGCTCATTATGTGAACGATTTCAAAAACAATGCAATTAAACTTTTGACAAACAAGTTAAAGAATGTAGAATATCAATAATCTCGTTTAAAGTCAACATTTCGCAAACTCTATAGTCTATACAATGTTAATGTCGACAATGGCATTCTAACATTAATTTGAATGCCGATTAACTATTTGAATACGAGTTGTTACGTCATTATTTAGGCACCGAATCGTCCCCAGATTTCTTTAGTTTGCCCGACCATGACACGGAGCACAGGGAGAGTGTAACCGGTCAGCAGATGATGCTGTAAATTTGCAAAGTAACATACATGAAATATGTGGAGATACCGAACTGTATTCGAGCTAATAGTCCATTAAACATTACAAAATAGGAGCGGGGCAAACACGTACGAGGTGGAATCGGGTGTCATTGAGGAGTGAGCATCCCCTGCTGACCGGTCACACCCGCCGTGTGCTTCCTGTCATGATTGAGAAATATGGAAAAAAATCCTTCTACAATTCACATAGTAAATAATGGCCTAAAAATAAGTATGAAAAAGTCAGCATTTGACTCAATGATAAATTG